TACTTGGATTTAGCCGTGATAATAAACTTGTAAAAGCCTTGAGATTACTGCGCCAATTAAAAAGAAATAACACTTGGGCACCCTGTCTAACAGTTGTAGTTCGCAAGAATTACACGTTAACAATATGCTTAAAAAAATACTGGACTTGATCAGCATAACAGTCAATCTGATTATCTAATGTTATAAAATTTGCTAAAATAAACGAACTTTTAACATGACGAGATGACATCGCTGAGCCAAACACCTCTGAGCCAATTCTACACTGACTGAATTTATTTATTGTAACATGACTAAGTATGATTGAATCTTCAGGTCTATTATTGAATGGTGTCTTGAAATTGTATGTTTCATATGTTGTTGTGTAGTATTCAACCATTAAATCAAGCATTGTCTTAAACAATAGCACATCGAATTTAGGACTTAGCATTTCTTCAGGAAATGGTTCACATCCAGTAATGATCAATTCCCGTATATTTCTCGAATTAGACCAAAATCGCTCCATTTCATCAGATGAATATTTGTCATCTTCTAATAATGAACTAACTACAGTTTGATTATCAAGCAAATCTAAACCTTTTGTTCGAATATTTACTGAACTACTGATTTCTCTAATACGATTATCATTCATTAATCTGCACATTATTTCTGGCTCAATTTGTATATGACTACTCAGTAACGAACCTAAATATTATTAACATATTTCGTTATTTACTAGCACATTTCGTTATATAAATTGGCAAAAAGAAAAAGAAGCTATAATTACTGAGTATCCCATTCATACGTTCAAATGAAAAACATCAGAAAGTGTATAAAGGGCTAAAATCGCATGAGCATTCTCGTAAATGGAGCGAAAGGTGGAGATTCGGTGTTATTTTATCACGTCCGTAATGCTCCTCAATAAGTTTTACTATTTTAATCAACCTTTCGTGAGATTCTTATACCGAATCGAGTTCCAGAATTCGACCTACTAGAATCGAACAAACTCTAACAAATTGTGTTAGAATCATTTGGTCGATATTTGATAGATGTTTCCAAAGCAATGTAGTTGCATAAATTGTATAAAATGTTCGCCATTGGTCTGCTGTGAAGTTGGAAAAACCTTCTCTACAGTTGATTTTTCGAGGGATTCTATCCAAATCTGCTGGAACTTGAATTTGATTCATATTCTTTTGGATACTTTTAAGAGCATCCGAAGATAAAACCTTCTCATCAATCCAAATTCGTTTAACTATCCATTTCTCTATGCTTAAAAATAGACAATGCATTGGGTCGACCATTAAAAATCGAATTGGGTCAAAGTATAATAACCGAAGTAATTCGGACCATCTAACGCCAGTATTCTTTACAAATCACTTTCTATAAGCGTCCGAATTGCACCTTCGCCAGTCAAATACATCCTCTCGATGTTGTGATGAATCCCAGGGAGTAAACCATTCGTTCATGTTAATCATTCCAGCAAAATTATGTTACTGATTTTCATAATTTGCCTTCTTTTCGCACCTATGACATGACACTAATGCCGAAACAAGGATTAATGCTGCGCAAATTCTCCTTCCTTCTTGACATTCATATGTTCGATTTAGAGTCACACTATTCCAAAGTAACTCTAATTCGTCAATAATTGGTGCTAAATAATGGTTTATCTTGTGTAAACTAACTTCATTCGGGCCAGGCAAAACTCCAAGAATTAGTAAATTTTCATGCTTGAATCAAATGTCTCTTGGAAGATTACAAATTGTAGCATATAATACTCCAGTACTATGGATTGTTCCGTCAAATGGTTGAAACCAATCCAAATTCATCATTAATCCCAGATGTGAATCGGCTACATCAGGTCTGAAAAATTTTAGTGAAATTTCTGAATCATTTTCTTTAAATGTCTTCCAAACTTATTCATCATATATGTTAGCCAATATGTTATTAAAACTTTTTCTATCGGCCCAATAACGTAGATAATTTTCGAAACCTTGTCGACGAAACATAACACTGAGTTGTTCTCGAATGCTGGCAAATGGATGAATTAATTTTGGTTGAAAAAATTTGAATTATCTGTTTTATGAGACAATGGTGTATTACAAGGCCGTAACCTGCGAATTGATGAATTCGGAAATTCGACGTGATTGCATGTTATAATCAATAAAGTATCATTCTGTCGAAAGTTCATCACTTCATCTCTGTTGTAAAGTTTATAACATTTCGTATAAGATACGAAACTATGAAATCAGTCTTTGAGGCCAAGCGATTTCTTTGTTAAATAAAGAGTACTTGGAAATCTGTTAAACTTATCACCACTGATTTCAGTTAGAACTAATTTCATAAATTTTATTAGAGAATCTGTTACAGTCTCAAATATGTTGAATCTAATTCGAAAGTTCATTATTCATAATAAAATCCATGCAAATTGATCATCAATTGTTACTTCCTCTTCTTCATCTTGAAATGGCTCATATTTCAGTAATGAATAATCTTCAAAAATTTCAGAAATAAGTAAATCATCCAATTCACTTTCATCTTCATTCATAGGAGATTCGATATGTCATCTTTCGTTATATTCATAATTATCGCTTAAAGAAGACTCAGTATGTTCATCTTCAGAGTCACTCAAATTGTTATTAACTTGTAGATGACTTATATACCTTCTTGTACGCCTTCGAGGTAAATTCAGTAATTTAGGATAACAATCAGTCATTTTGATTCTTAAAGCTTGTGATTCATCATCAATCATTTCACTTCTTGAAGCCTGTAATTCGATTTTAGGAAGTAATCCAGTATCAAGTATCAATTTGTCAAAATTCAGAAATAATTGTTCAATGGCAGAATCACCACGAATTGTTGATGAACCACTTGTCAATTCATGAAAAAGTTTGGTCTGATTTAGAACTAATTTTCCATTATACTTGTTAAAATAACAAGGAACCTTATTATCTTTTTTATTCAAGATAGTCATTTTATCGGCTTATTACCAATGATATTTGAAATAGACCTATTTCTTGTCATCTTGAAAATTTAAAATTGCTGTTTTTTTGTTAATGTCAATGAACAATTTATATATATAAAAATGAAACAATTAATATAGATGCTGCGGCAGAATAATAATTAAATTAGTATTCGCATAATAATCAAAATTTAAAATTATTATTGCACATTACATTGAAACTTAAAAGAATAATTGCATTAAATCAAAATTTAAAACAATTACTGCATTATAATCGAAATTTGAATCAATTACTATATGGTAATCGAAATTTTTAAGAATTACCGCATTATAATCGAAATTTAAAATTATTATCGCACATTACATTGAAACTTAAAAGAATAA